ATGACTGGATCAACTTACCAACTAATGACCAAGATAATTTTACAACTACAACTACTAAGCCATATTATGAAACCTGACAGCAGCGCTTGTACTGGGGTGCTTGTCCCACAGCAACTAAATAACTGCCATTTCCTTATAATTACAACCCCCTTCTGCTCAGACTGCTCCTCAAGTGAGTAGAGATTAACAGGATTGGAATTTTCCTACTTGTTTCTGAAATCTTGCAGCTCCAATGTTACAAATTTTCAATACAATTGGAATCTTGCAGCACGATCATGCACTTTTGCTAACAATTAGATAGGAGGTAATTTATCTTGCAGTTTCCAGAAATGGCAGGGAAGCTCTAGTTGAGGCCCTAAAGGTAGATGTTTTCCATGCTTGGCACTTTAGTGCTCCACCCAATTTTGTGGATCTAACTGAATGACCAAGAATTTAGCCATGAAGTATGATAATTCATGTATCCATGATACTTTACTGGTCTACTTATACTGGAAGAGTGGAGTCTAAAAAGAGTCTCTGATTGCCACTACAGCATTAGCCTATGGCCCTAAGTTAGGTAGGGTAATCAACATATTCTTTTAAAAGTTAAATTCAAAGAGTTAGGGTGAATGCGCCATATTTTGACACTGTCAGTAATTCCGACACCCCTCAACTTTTTCCTTTATATTAAGCTTGGTCTTAGTTCCAAGCATGTGTAGATGGTTGAAATAGTGACATCATACTATTGCGTGCAAGATTTCCACAAAACACTAGGTCTAGCAGGAAAATGTTAAGATCAGCAGAGCAAAAGTCCAAGTCAGCTAGTGAGAACATCAAAACACATATGAAAGTTGATAGTTGACCTTGCTTTACTAAATAGTGATAAATGGTTTGTGTAAAAAGAATATTATGGTTTGAGACTTTTAAATAAGTCTGTGAATATATTAGGAATCCTTTAGGTATACGGTAGTACTTGAAATGCTGATTTCAAGTGATAAATAAATTAAATAGATGATTAAGTTAAGAGACAGTTTTAGACACATAAAAACTAATTCCAACACAGCTTGGAATTAGACACACGCAGTTCGATCCAAGCTGTGTGCAAAAATTAAAATTTTCTTAAATAAAAGCTTAATAGCTCTTAATTAAAAGCCTAATTAAGTAGTGTTCAATATTCAATAGTGTTTTAATTCCGAGCTGTGTCGTATTCCAATACAGCTCACACAGCGATCAAAATTCGAACACAAGAAGGTTGGAATTATGAATTAGTAGTTTGAAGCGTGGCCAGAATTAGTCTCACAAAATGCCAAATTTAGTCTCACACAGAGTCAGAATACATGGATTTGGTAGGTTTGCATTCTAAATGCTTTTAAATAAATATGGCAACAGTTTGTGAAGTTTCATTGTTGCAGATGCGGAGTCAGGCATGGAATATATCTGCTTGGTGAGCCGCGACTGAATTTTTTTAGCCGTGGTTTTATGGATTTGCCAGCCGTAATTACATTTCTTCGAGCCGTGATTCTATTTCACCAAGCCGTGAATTCCATATCTTGGCCATGAAAAGCCATTTACAAGGCGCAAATTTATTTACAAAGTCCATGCACGGCCGCACGGGTTACCCAAATCTCTAATTTTACCCTAAAACAGTCAAATGTCAACAATAAAATTTGTCTTTACTGTAAGTTGAGCACATGTTAATGCAGTCTGACCACTTTGACATGACCGCAACTATGCACGATCTTCAGCAAAACATTTACCTAGTTGATTTGTTTACATTACAATGTTATGTTTTTTCTGCAGAATATTTTGGCGGGAACGGTAAAGCAATGCGGATTGCGGAAGTTGAAAATTTTATGAAGTGACATGTTTGCAAAGTGCAAACCGCGATTTTTTAATCAAACAAAAATTTATGACATTCGAGCCGCGAGATTTCATACCTACTGAAATTATATGATATTAGAGCCGCTATATTTCAGACAAAAATAGGACTTTTCCTGCCCTGTGCGGAGTGCAAGGTTTTGAGAGTGACCGTCAGAGACCTAAAGCAAAAAGAACTCAACTTGCACAGAAGGTGATTTTTTTATAACCATTCATTTTTTGCTACGTTGTTAATGTGTTAGAATATACGGTGTTTACCCTATGGTGTGTTTACCCTTCATTGGACATCCATGACTCAATTTTTTTTACATTTGGACAATTTACTTTGAAACCACCTATTTCAAATATAGACAATATATGAATTTATGAAAACATTTAGGCAATAAAATTCAGTTGGAAAGTGTCCTTCATTTGACATCCAAGACTCAATTTTTTTTACATTTGGACAATTTACTTTGAAACCACCTATTTCAAATAAAGACAATATATGAATTTATGAAAACATTTAGGCAATAAAATTCAGTTGGAAAGTGTAATTCTTAAAATTTGGTCTAAAAGTTCAAATTGTTCAAGTTGACAGCATGGCAGGAAGTCTGAGCAAAATTTGGCTATCAGATTATTTTGCATTAACAGACATTCCAGGATGACTTTAATTAGTATCACAGTGACACTATCACTTAAGCAAAGATTACTAGGTAGGCCTTAAGGCTTAAGGCCTATAATATCTTTGAGGCCAAGATTGTATAGGCAGATACCTTATACTTATACCTAGCCTTTCTCCTATAGCTGCTTCAGTTATGAACTTACAAGAAATAACTGGAACATCCGGAGGAGATTGTGTACATCTTTCAGTAGACAGTAGTCACTAGTCAGTAGGTACCTAGGCCAAGTTTACAAACAAAAAATGCTAATGCTAAAAAGTGCTAATTGTGTCCAAATAAAACTACCTATAATAATTTTACTTTAAAGCCAAAACTATATTTTCCATCAACATTTGGCCAACATTACACCAAAAAATTTAAAAGCATTGTCCATCTCACAGGGTTGGCGATTTTTTTGATTTTTTTTTTTAAATCAAAAATCAATGATTTTTTTTATTTTTTCATGATTTTTTTGATTTATTTGATTTTTTTTTATTTTTTTCAGCTTTTTTGTCTTTTTTTAGGTGTTATTTTTTATGTTGCAATTAGCCTACTAACAATAACAGTATATGGATCATAATGGATGGCTAAAAAGGGCACTTATTGCCTTCAATAATGGCCAACAGGCCAAGGTGGCATTTACCACTTTGGGATTTTTGGGTAAACAATTATTGATAAGTCTATTCATTAGCTTTGTAAAGTTTTTATGGAGCAAGGTAATGAGCTAAATATTGACCATTTAACTGGCTTCAATATACAAAAAACACTTCAGGAATGCAGATCTCCTAAACATTAAAGAGTCACATAACAGATAGGTAACTGATAGCACAGTGCACAGCACTATCAATAGATCTACTAGTTTTATGTCATATAAATCTACCAGACTCTACCTTCTATACACACCGACTAGTAGTGACTGACTGCACTGTTCCCATTTAATTCAGACCAATATTCGCATATTTAAAGATTGAAATTAAATATTTTAATTAGAATACCTACTCGTATTAGGGTGAAAAAATTTTCTAATTCCCTAAAAGGTCAATACAATCTCAACCTCTCAATATACAGGGTTGAGCAGAACAGATTGAGCAGTTTTGAGGTAAAATAAAAGAGTAATGGAGGTACATAAAGAAGAAAGTTTAATTTCTTAGAGGTTAGCATAACATACCATTTAGAATACTTATGTTTTGAAAACAATATCTGGAAGATGGGGCTGTTAGCTGCAACACACTCTTGGAGTCGTTCTCAGAGGAGGGAGTAACCATGACAGTGAATTCCGATTGCTATGCTGCAATGTTGCAAAATTTCTTGCAGCCCATGATGGAAAACATTGTTGAAAATGAAGCATTGAGAGACTTGTGGTTCCAGCAAGATGGGGCTACAGCTAACACAGCTCGAATGTCACTCAATGTTTTGAAACGCATGTTTCCCGTAGGTCTGGTATCTCTGAGGGGTGATTTACAGTGGCCTGCAAGGTCACCTGATTTGAGCATTTGCGATTTCTTTCTTTGGGGACATCTAAAAGAAAGAGGTTCAGAAATCGCGCTCACACCCTACCACAGCTAAGAAGACGGATTATTGTAGCAGAGGTTATGGCCATACCTCGTCATATGTGTAAACGTGCTGTAGGAAACTTCCGAGAACAACTCCAACAGTGTGATGCAGCTAACAAACCCCATCTTCCTGAATTGTTTTCAAAACATAAATATTTTAAATGGTATGTTATGCTAATCAAGAGGAAAATAAACTTTCTTCTTTATGTACCTCCATTACTCTTTTATTCTGCCTCAAAACTGTTCAATCAGTTCTGCCCCACCCTGTATAAGCTAGCTAACACATTTAAATTGTATATTGTAATCAATATATAACAAATAGTTAGACTACTTATAGCCCTATAAGAATTAGCTAAGCTGCTAGCTACGTACAATGTGTTGCACTCTTGATGCCTCTGTACCAAAAACATTCAACTTTTTGGAACCTAATACGCACTAAAGGCAACAAGTTTATATACCAATTTATCATTCATAGTACATTTATACTAAACCATGAATAAAAATACCTCAATATAAATTAAAGACTGCCACTCAATATTTTTAAATATATGAAAAAATCGAAAAAATCAAAAAATCATGATTTTTTTATAAAAAAATCAAGTGATTTAATCACATGATTTAATCATTTTGATTTAATCATTGCCAACCCTGCCATCTCATCATTCTCATGATCTCGCTTCTGCCTTCTAGCCTAACAGTACAGTAAATGAGCAAAACAGTATCACAGTTCAAACCTTTATAAAAAATATCTAATCATGTCCAAAAATATACAAGCAATTATCTACTTATCAAGATTATAAATTTAAAATATGAGAGGTCTCACTCAAACGTAAAAACATAAACGTATTGCTATCAGGCACATTTCAAATTATTGAGAGTGATTGCTTATTTTTTTCAACCAAGTATCTAATCGCGCGGTCCCAAAATCTAACCTCACCAGTTCGGTAATGGCAGTGCAAATGCGGAGCAAAAACGGAACTCCTCTCATAATTTGATGGTTGATTAGTATTTTGACTTATAGAATGCAGCACTTGTCTCATAATAAGTTGGTAAGTATACAAAAATTTGATCAAATACGTACAAGTTTCACTGGATGATCTTTTTAATAGATTTTTTCAGGGAGTTTTTGAAAGATCTCCTAGAGAAATGGAGATCAACATGGCTGCAATCAAGTCCACAGAAAAACCTAATTTAACTATTAGGTTGTCCCGCTGCAGTTTTAAACCCTTAAAGGTCGATTTCGGATGTATCCGAATCAATTAAATTATTGATATTTCTAACATCTATTACGAAACATATCGTCACGAATTCTTATATTCATTAATTACGAGGCTGAAATTTTCTGAAATTCTTAACCCTGATAGCAGGGTAGACTTCTGGGTCCATTTTACGTTAAATCAGGTGCAAAATATCCTACTGTTGTGTAATTATATGACTAATTGTAAACTCAAACAATTTTATTTTTTGGTGCGCAGGATTCGTGATTTCTTCAACGAAAAATATTTTTTGTTAAACAAAAATAATCTGTTCCGAGGCTCTCAACAGTGCTGCAATGAATAGATAATTAACGCATCTTCACACGTGTTGAATATGCATTAATATTAAGTGCAAGTCATATAATATTTAAATTCCTAATTTATCAGAACTCTAAGTTTTTTATGTTAGATTTTGATGTCTAAATAATTATATATTGGCTACTGGGGACGTGTTGACGTGCTCCCTATGTTCTGTTGACATCGTCAAAAATTACCCCAATTACCCTAAATTACTTTACTCTTCAAAGCCACAAGTGCTCTGTGAAGAGAAATGGCAAAAGTGGAGCAACAATAATAATTGTCTTCTGGCACTAGTCAAATGTGAGCAGAGAATCTTTTTCATTATCTTACCATAACCATCAGGTTTGCGTGGCGTGGCCTGGGCTTGATAATTCCTGCATTTTTTAATCCCGGTATTCCTAATCTCGTTAGTCATAATACAGCTTATATATTCTAATTGAATAAAGACCCTTTCAAACCCACCTTTTACCTATCATATATATAGGATTCCCATTTTACTCTATTTTCTAAAATATGGGATGAAAATAATAATAATAAATAATTACAGCCTTACAGGACCTGGTAATACACCGACGCGATGTATCCTGGATATACTTAACGAGGTGATTAAAAAAAATTGTGGGAAAATAACAGTTTGAAAAAATTACGAAAGTCATAGGGCTTAATTTCATAAATATGCTTTATCTTGGGCAATATATTTGTGTGAACGCTAATGCGAGCCAATAAGTCTATCTGTGTAAAATTGAAAGCCATATGATTTGAATGTTTTGGCATTTTTTTTTTTTTGCTGCTTAATTCTGCTTAATTTTATTTAAACTTGTACCTTCCAAAGATTTTTTTTAGTTTTGGAAATAAGGAAAGTGGGATAGGGCTAAGTCAGTCCTAGAAGATAGATGCCGAATGATTTCCCATTGAAATTCACGTCGCACAGCCCCCGGCCTGCCGAGCGCGATGTACGAGTGCATGGTCGTGGTGGAAGAGTGCGCTGATTCCCACTATGTTTTTCGGCAACAACATCGCCTCTGCATCCCAGAAAACCTTCCCTCTTGAACGCTCATATTTTTCTTTGACGGGTTCACTTCTACCCCTGAGCAGCCTCTGCTTCGATTGAGTTTTGTCCTCGGAATCGAACTCGTTGAAACATGATTCATACCCGGTCACAATCCGAGTAAGAAAAAGTTTAGGATTCTCTATATACATGTTTAAAATTCCCATAGAAAGCTCTGTCCTTGATTCATGCTGATCTTGGCGCAACAGCTTAGGAACCCATCGAGCGCAGTCAGTAACATACTGACTACATACATTTGGCTTGCTCTGTAACATACTGAATACCTAACAGAATTGTGTGTTCGTAACCCACTAAGATGCTGATTGTCTTTGCTACTGACTCGGTAGTTATTTGCCTATCTTTGTCAATGAGGACAAGAAGAGCATCAACGTTTTCCTCACAAACTGGTGTCCATGGCCTGCTTCTGCAGGGGTCATCTTTGGCCTCATTTCTTTCGCTTTTGGAACGACTAATCCATTTGTAGGCTGCTGATTTATTTGGGACACTGTCACCATAAACTTGTAAAAAAGTCACTAGATTGCTTTAATCGCAGATTCACTAGAAATTTAAAAGCGAAGAAAACACCACAAAAATTTAGCATATCTCTTTTGAAAACGTTTCGGAGACCAGCTCCATCGTCAGTTCGATAAATCTAGAACACAGATAAATGCAGAAAATTAGTTTGGAGTTAATAAAAAAAACACAAACAGAAGTTAAAAACCTAAATTTACAGACAAAGGGCAGAATAATAAAGTAAGTACCTATCTATTCACAATTTCTAATGGATNATAGTTCTTATCCATTAGAAATTGTGAATAGATAGGTACTTACTTTATTATTCTGCCCTTTGTCTGTAAATTTAGGTTTTTAACTTCTGTTTGTGTTTTTTTTATTAACTCCAAACTAATTTTCTGCATTTATCTGTGTTCTAGATTTATCGAACTGACGATGGAGCTGGTCTCCGAAACGTTTTCAAAAGAGATATGCTAAATTTTTGTGGTGTTTTCTTCGCTTTTAAATTTCCACCATAAACTTTTTCCAGAGAATCAATGATTTGGCTGTTCTTCCACTCAAGCTTCACCATGAATTTGATGCTTGACCTGGCCTCGATTTCGGCAGATGGCGTGATGCATGAACGGTTGTTAACTATAAAACTGTCTTGCGTTTATAACATTAATTTAACGGTTAATGTGAGAACACGTTGTAAAACATTAATACGAGATCGCTCTGGTGCATTGGCATCATATTTTTTCATAGAATTTTCACTTATGTCTATTCTTCACTGACAAATTTGAAGCCCCCTCTTAAATTTGGAATGCCAGGCCTCAAATATAAAAACTCATAAACTTTTACCAAAGATTAATATTTTCACTGTGCATAAATATTTTATTTGGAGGTTTTTATTTCTTTATAAAAAACTTGTAATCAATATTCAAATGGGACTACTCGCAATTTGGAGAGGGTAGCTCTCTGAGAAGAATCGTTGCATTCATACATTCTTCATTTCCATGTGGCTAACTATGAATTTTAAATTCACAGATTCATTATTGTGAGTTACTGGATAATCCTATTAGGCTAATAAGTGATAAAGATATAAAAAATTGATGCCCACAAAGCCTGATGTGAATGTTTTAAACATGTCCGTGAAAATGGCGTCCAATCGCTTCCGTTGTCGTGATGAACCTCGGCCAACTTTGGAAAAAATTAGCAGTGCTTTCATTGATCCATGCTTAACATTAACCGAAGTAGCGCTTACTCAGTTTATTGAGCCTACTTATGAAGAGCCTTCAGGACTTTTATCCTGGTAAGTGAATTATTCTACCATAACTCTTTAGATGCTTATTTTTTAGCGTATTTTCTCATTTATGGAAAATATATAACTCAGTACTCACTGCAGTGAGTGACAGAGAGCGCATTTTCTCGTCGACGAAAACATGAAGTCACGGACGGACAGACAGATGGACAGACGGGCCGACAGACGGGACATGGCGAGCATAATAGTGCATTTTTTTCATAAATGAGAAAATGCGCTAAAAAGGCGGTATTGTGCTCGATATGTCCATCCGTCTGTCTGTCCGTGACTTCACGGACGGACGAACGAGAAAATGCGCTCTCTCTCACTCACTGCAGTGAGTACTGAGTTATATTTTTTATATTTCAGGCATTGAAATGCCCTGCGATGAGTTTTAAAGTTCAAGATTTGGTCACTTTTAGGGAAGATAATGTTTCGATTGAACTGTCATGATTCAAAAATTGCTTTAAATAAACTATTGTGTTTTTTATTACAAATAACATCATTTTCATCGATGAGTCCGACGATGATCTCAAGTTCTATGAAAGTTTACTATTAATTTCATTATTTGTTTGAATAACGTCAAGCGATATTATTAGATTCGTCTTGGTGAAGAAAACCAATTTCACTTTATTCAGGAGGAAGGTGTTTGCCCTTCCTCTGCTCCTGCTGTCGCTGGCGTTCCTCCCTCTGCTTGTCGTTGGCTTTGTTCTCAGAGCATCAATAAATTTCTGGTGCCCCGGCCGCCTGCCTTACCGCTACCTTCGACTCAACAGAAAAGGTACGAGTGAATTGTCGCTGAATTATTCACTGTTATTATTTATTGTGAGGCTAACGCAATAAGGTTGCAACAATAATATAGTATGGATAATTAACCAATAGTAATTAAAGTCTTCATCCAAATCATTGCTCGTGAGTTTAAAGATTTATCACTGAATCTTACGATGTTAACTTAGGGCGTTCAAATGATTAACTTCAATGCAAAGTCGCCACTGCAACTACGTCGCCGGCCTTCGATATAGAAACGATCTATGTATCTTATATATAAACAAAACTGAACCGCAACTTCACATCGAGAAAGAGACAGCTTCGTATGTATAATGCTGTAATCAAACCCTACGTTCTTAATTCTGTCCAATATATAGTATGGTTCTTATTGATTAGCGGCGAATTAAGTGCAGTATTGAGTGGTGATTCGTGTGTCATTAACGGCAGCATTTCATTATAACCTCTCAATTTTTTGCTCATTCTGTCTAATGCTTAAAACTTATATATCGGGCCGTTTCGATTGCGAACTTTAGAACTAATAAGAAATAATTGGAACATCATGAGGAGATTGCGTATTGTAAGGTTGCATAATAGCTAGATTATACATTTATCAGAGAAACCTTTAAGTGGCCTGGTAGTCAAGATAACAATGACGAATGAGGAAGGTTGGTCCTGCGAGTATATATTGATTGGGTTCGATACTCGCCATTTGTTGTGCACATTCTGGTCATATGGTGGTCTTATGATTAAAAATATACCTTTATGATCCAATTAAAACTGACTTCACTACATTATACTATTATTTTTAATTCTTATTATTATATAATATTATTATTATATTATTATAATGCAATCCTGTAATTATAATATAACTAACATCGCTATCAGGGGCTGTAGCCAAGTCTCCGGAGGCTGAGCCGAAGGGCCATCTCGTGTTCATGACTGGCAACGTATTGTTGAACTATGATCTCATCGTGAAGTTCAATAACGGCAGGTGAGTTCTGTTGAAAATCGAGCGGGAATAAAGAACTTAATCAGCAAATGAGAGTATTTCAATCGTCTCTTTAGCTTGAACACATGTTCAACCACGGTGAAACTTTTAATTATCTAATTAATGGCAGCTAATTATGCAATTCATATTTTCATTCAACGGTCGTGAATTCTCCGAAAAGACATCCTATTCGCCGCATTATGTTAAATAATTATCTGTTGCAATTGATACGTTAACGAAAAAAACTGAGCGTATACATTTTTATTATTAGTGATTTTTAACGTAAAATAAGCTTAACATTTTTTCATGACTTCCAGGCCTGTGTCGGAGAGACTACCTATCGTGGCGGAGCAACTTGGGCGCCAGAATTCGAAATTGAATAAATTTCCTAATTTAAAACTCCCTATATCGCAACTGAGATCAAAGAAGGACGTCGTAGTTTCCGAGGTTGTTTACCGATGGAACCTAATTTCTTAATTGATGACAAAAATTACTCGAATAATTAGTAAAAAGTTTATAAGTTTCGTTCTTTTCAATTTCGTTCACATTTTTACATGAGATTTCTCACTTGAGGTCGTACCAGGTACGACTAAACATAAGCTGTGTTTGCGTAGTTTCGTTGATTTAATGTAAATTTTTTTTAATTTTGTGATTTTTCTGAGCAGTTGGCTTTCGTCATTTTTTACTGATCAGTTGGATCCGTTGCCTTTTGTCATTTTTTTCTGAGCAGTTGCTTTTTGTGATTTTTTCTGAGCAGTTGCTTTTTGTGATTTTTCTGAGCAGTTGCTTTTTGTGATTTTTCTGAGCAGTTGCTTTTTGTGATTTTTCTGAGCAGTTGCTTTTTGTGATTTTTCTAAGCAGTTGCTTTTTGTGATTTTTCTGAGCAGTTGCTTTTTGTGATTTTTCTGAGCAGTTGCTTTTTGTGATTTTTCTGAGCAGTTGCTTTTTGTGATTTTTCTAAGCAGTTGCTTTTTGTGATTTTTCTGAGCAGTTGCTTTTTGTGATTTTTCTGAGCAGTTGCTTTTTGTGATTTTTCTGAGCAGTTGCTTTTTG